ATATGACTTAATATTTAATAGGTTTTCAATAGAACAATACATTTTTCTTAATTTAATTTAATATTCAATAGGTTTTCAATAGAAAACAATACATTTATTTAATTTAATATTTAATAGGTTTTCAATAGAAAAAATTACATTTTATTTAATTTAATTTAATATTCAGTAGGTTTCCAACAGAAACAATACATTTTACTAGTCCCCGTTCGGACGCAGAGGAAATTGGAATTTTGTATCTTATAGTTGTCCATCATAATACATGTATGCAGTAAAAATAATTAGGTTCACTTTACACTTTCCTCATAAACCAGGAGCTTTATTAAAATTAATGGAAAAATAATTTTTGAATGTTGCTTAATACTTATCTATTTTTACAGGTCTTTGACTTGTATCTCAGATGACTACCTACAGAGTCAGTATTTTATAGTGTGTGTGTTGCTATGCATATATTGTATATTCCATTCCCTATTAATGAAGATCCCAAAGGCATACATTCTACTTTTGCTACACCGATTTATAGTGATGCAAATTGTAAAACCTGGGTAAAGTTGCAATATTTTTATTCATATTTGGCTGCCAAAGTAAAAGGTATTATGGAAGATTGCAATTTGTTCAGGGTATTAAAGCCAAGTTTCTATCAGTATTGTTGATTGTACTCCTTGTTAAAACATTATGTCTTCACCAGTAGGAATTTGTTTTGGCAAGGACTAGTGGTAAATTAGTGTGATGCCCTTTCAAACACTGTTGAAGATTGGGACGTGCATCCAATTTTATAATAAAGACATTGCACAGGAGATATGTCTGTCTTATCACATGACCAATCCTCATTAATGTGCATAACTATAATATCTCAATCACTGTTCATGTTTTCCAGTACAACCAGTGCAATACTGAAGCCATTAGGCAGGAAATGTGGCTAATATATCATTTGTTTATATTTGGTCATGCCTAATTATAATATTTAGAGAAATATTGCAGATTGGCACATGCAACAGATGCAGTAATAAAAACATTGGACAAGAGAAATGACTCATCACATGTCCATATATGGTCATATAATATAATTATGCATAACTGTAATATCCTAAACACTGTTGCATTTAAGACAATGCAAATTCAGCTATATTGAATGTATTGAACAAAAGGTATGACTAATGTTTCAAATTACCATATATATTTTCCGTTCACTGCGATATCATGCGTAATATGTGAAAGGCGTTGCCCGAATGTCTGTGGCAAAAATTTAAATTTCTTTTTTTATTGTTCAATGTCAATCTCATCAGGGGGATTATTTTTTTTGAGATATTCTTACTTCATTATAATTGACCATCATCAAATGTGCATAGCACATTATTAAGTGCGGAAATACCCACAAAATACTTTTGTCTTTGTCAAATCCTATGCGGCGTTTTGACGTTACTCCGGTACTATGACCTTTGTTTGTCCTATATTAATGTTCAATGGTCTATTCTCGAGGAAAAAAAGTTAAGTAATGAAAGGTTTATTTCTATGTAACAAAGTCGACACAGCAGAGCTGTTCATATTACTGATTGTCCGTCGTCGTCAACTTTACAATTTCAACTTCTTCTTTGAAACCGCAAGTCAAAATGTTTACAAATTTGATATGCAAGTACCTTGGATGGTTCTTTCTCATATTTGTTCATTTCATGTCAAAATCTCAAATTCTCCATTTTTGGTGAATATTTTTGTCATTTTTGTTAAAAAGTGATATTTTTGACTTCTTGTTAAAAACCACAAGTCTGATTGCTTTGATACATTTTTGTACTATACAAAAATGTACATATTGTTCATTTTAATTAAAATGTGCATTGCTTACAGCGGAGCTATCTCAGCCGACAGGCTGCTTGTCTTTCTAATAGTACTGGTTTGTGAGTAACTGCTTTAAACTGACAAGAATATCAAGTAAGCAGCACTACTAACTAGTGATTTGTTATCTTATTACATTAAGTATCCAATTTATGCAGAGAGCTGGAGGTAAATAAAAAAGGAAAACATAGATCTGACTTTCTAATCCTGAAATCTGAAAGAAATGCTTTCAGGCAGTTTCCACAGACTGTATTAAACAATTTTCTTTTCTGTTCCTGAGGCAATTACGATATTGATTCCTGTAGATGTATACTTATTACTAGCGGATAGAACACATCCTAGATTCACTCTTCGGGTCTCATCTATGCGCCGTGCTGTGTAACATACTGTTAAATATTACCAATGTAGTCAGGGTTGTTGACTGATTTAATTATTCATGCCAAGTACACTGGTATTTTTATTTTTACTTTTGTTATTTCATTTTGAATTGTTTCACTCTTTAACTTGCAATTATTGACGCATGAAAAGCTGTGGTTGTTGCGTAGCAGGCTTTTTGATTTTGCATAATTAAACTAAGTATTGTACATGTGTAATGTTACATGCATGAAACCCATATCGAGCATGTGGTGCTTTTATTTCAAACTAAACGGACAGAATTAATCATTTAATAGTAAATGGAAGATCAACGTTTTTCAATGAAAGATGATTTCATATTCAGTGTATCATATTTGCTACCATGCTGGGTGCTTATGCATCAGGTACATTGTATCATCTGTTGTGCTGGCA